TTCTTCTGCTGATTGTTGCTTTGGCATAAATCTGGAGCAGCTGGGATAGACCACCCAGGAGTGCAATATTATAGAAGCTGAGATCTTTGGGCAAAAATAGAGACAAAGCTTTGTGGAGGAGATTATACGTTAGGACTGGACTGGTAGCTACCATGAAACCTCTTTGGTGGTCAGAAGGCTAGTAAGCCAGTCTGAGCCCTGTCATGCCCCCTTATTTCATTGCTTTCCCTGTTCCAATTTAGGACCTGGAGCTGAGCCCTGGACAGAAGCAATCCCTCTACCCACCATCCCCTTTCCATGACTTACAGGTACAGTGAGGGCCTAGGGAAAGCACTTGGGGAGGATAATATGTAATGGTTTCTTTGGAATTTTTTATGTTTAATAAAACACATAGCCAATGAAAACTAATTGTCTGCACAACATAAATATATAAAGTCAAGACTGAGCTAGAAAATTTTCTAGATGTAGAGTGAGTAGATTTCCTATAAATTTTCAAATAATCCAGGTACATATGTCAATATCTCTTACTCGAGGCTGAGAACCAAGGCCAGGGAGGCTTTCTTTCTTGTACAGCCTCTTGGAGCAATTCACTTGTCAGATAAATAGCTAGTGAATTTGCACATGTATCCGAGAGACCTTGATGATAACACTAAACTGATGGCTTATACAGCACCACCTACCGGGCAAAATTATAAACTGTATTCCCTTTCTAGTTAATGGTAAAGTGACACATTGCCTTACTCTGGCCTTAAGGAAGGGAGGACACAAGCCAGTGTGGGATGCTACTCCTATTGAAGCACGTCAGGAGGCATCTTGGATACCCAGCAAGTGCAAACACAGGCTATACCATATAAAATTATGGAAAGTATTGTTATCTAATCTATTGAATATAATTCATATTTCATTTGGAAAATGTTACAGTGAATAGAGTTCTGAGTTTGGAGACAGAAAGTGCTGAGTTCAACTTCCCTTCTCTAACATTTATTATGAGTGTATGACACTGGGAAAGTCTATTAACCTCTGTCACTTCAGGCAACTCCTCAAGACTCATCCACTAAGTCATAGATGGTATGCAGCTGGTGAAAAGAAGTTCCCACACTGATGAAATCACAAATCCTTTATATAGTCACATTTGGAAGAAGATGTTAGAAGACTATTACCTTACTTCTTCCAATACTTCAACACTCTGTAATTTCATCAGCATGAGTGCTTCTTTGAACAAGTCAGAACACAGCCCTTCAATGGTTTCCTTTGTAATTTCTTTATGTTAAATAAACCATGTAACTAATGAAAATTGCTTTAGTGACTAAGTATATGATATTCAAGTGTTGTTGTGGTCAGAAATATTTATCACCGTTACCATGCCATCAATCATCAGGTTGTGGTCTTCTTCTCCCCCCACCCTCCACCCCGCCTCAAAAAAAGTTTTCAGTGGGAAAAGAAGATTGCAGAGACAGAGAACTTAGTATGAGGGTGAGTCAGTCATATCTCAAGGTCACTTTTGGATGAAACTAGGAGAAAAACAAAGAGATGTGAAATGTAACAGATCTGCTGACACTTCTATGGTAATCTATGCTCATCAGAAAAGATAGTGAAATACCACATTTGGGATTCACCGATTCCAATATCCAATATATTGTATGAGGAAGAGGATGTGAAAATACCATTAAAAAAATAAAGTTAGGAAGAATGACTATGTCTATAATGCTTATGTGTTATAAACTACGCTTTTTGTTACAAGAGGGGGCTTCTAAGGGGGCTGAGTTAGTGGGAAGTTATAGAGACACTAAATAAGGAATAAAAGATGATACAACATTTAAAAAACAAAAGAAAACAAAAATAAGTTCAGAAGGGGTCACAAATAGGACAGTTGTTAGAATTTCATATATAAGCCAGTTTCATATGTCGGCCTATTTTTGTTCTTTGAAATTTAGAACGTATTGATGATTGTTAAGTTCATAATAATTTTTTTTTTGCTGAAAGACTGTCAGTATCTGATGAAATACAGAAGAAATATATGCAAGGCAGGCAAGTCAACCTAGCACTCCTACAATCACCTTGACCACCTTCTTCCCTTGGACCCTGATGGAGACAGTCTGTTCCCCAAACTACCAAATCTGCTTCTAACCCAGTTACCATAGCCATCATTGAGGGCTTCTGGATGAAGGGCCCATCTTTCTTACCAATAGGCAAAAAATTGCCATCAACATGTAGATAGGCACAAGAATCCAGCCCAGACCTCATTGTCACCATCTGAGAAAACAGCTCCTGCAGAGAAGGACTCAGCCATCCCCACCAACTGCACCCATAAGGATGGCAAGCCAGCCTAGATGAAAAAGCAAGGCACCTTGAGGAAGAGACAGAAAGTAGTACATGCCAGAGAGGTCAACCACCACTATCACTTTTACTAATATCTCCTCTTAGACCCTAACAGAGACAGCCCAGAACCCTGAACCCAAGAACCTTGGGAAAGGCATTATGTCTAGCTCAGTGCTCTCAGCCATCATCCTGGGAAGCAACCCTGTACGGATGCTTCCAATTGCTCTTGCAGGTACAACAGGCACATCTACTAAAGACCCAGAAAAGAAAGTTCTTGCCACCAAAGTCCTTGGCACTGTCAACATCAGAAACTTATTTGATTTTATCCACGGAAATGACATTAAAGAAGAAGCATCACCATCTGCTTTGTGGCTGTACCTTAACAACCATAAGACTTGCAGCTGTTGTCTCCCTCATTTGATTGTGAACTCACTGAGAAAAGGGACTGACTTGCTTTTCTATTTCTATCCCCAGCCCTTAGAATACTGCTTTGTACAAAGTAAGTGCTTAATAAATGCTTCATTCATTTGGGAAATCTATGCTGGAGGTAACAATTTTAAAGTCAAACAGGGACCAATTTTCAAGATAAGTCAAAGTGGAAGTTGGTAAAAGAATGGGAAAAAAATATTACCAAAAGAGAAGCCAACCATGAAGACACCTAACTATTCATAACTAACAATTCATAAGCCTACTTTCTCATTGCTAGAAGATCTTATGAAAAATGTTGCTGGATACATTAAAGGTATCCTTGATACACACACACTATGAAGAAAAGAGGCTTTTCTAATTTCTTTCTTTTTTTAGGCAATCAGGGTTAAGTGACTTGCCTAGGGTCACACAGTACCTCAGGCAGATTTGAATTCAGCTCCTCCTAGCTGCCCCTCTAATTGATTTTTCTACAGACCATGTTTTGACAGTCACACACGAGAGAGAAGTAAAAAGAAGACAAAGTAAACAACTTTTTATCATTTGCTAATTTTAAAAAAGGAATGCTCCCAATGGAGCAAAATGCAGCTCAAACAAAGTGTCTCAAAATCATATAAGTTTCTTCTAGAACTGATGTGAGCACCACAAGCCTGAACATCAGCATTAGAAGGACAGCAAACAGGAACATATGCTGAACAAAGGTGTTTGTGATTGTCATAGATATTTGCCATGTGCAAAAAGAAGAGGATTTCCCTATTAATGGATAGGTTCTACAGAAGCTCTTGTTTGAGAGTCACATTGTATTGCCTCCTCAATAAAATCCACAGAGATTCAAAACAGATCAGCCTAGCTATCTAAATGGGAAAAATAAATGGATCACAAATACATATTGCCTCAATTATGACAAATAGTTGAATGAGTAATCTATTGACTCAATCCATAAATTCATAAATAAGTCTTGGAAAGGTACTAAAGAATTTGGCCTCAGAATGAAATAAAAGGGAAAAACTGAACTAAGATGCATTTCAGAAATTGTACAGCACTTTAAATGATCTCCATCTATCCCCCATTGCAAAAGCCCATCATTTTAACACTGATAACAATAACTAACAATACTTACATGGTTTTGAATAATGGGGTACCGTAACTGCCAAGGAATCACAATTGCAGGTAATACAAAAGCATGTCGGGAAAAAGTCATATGCAGCATATTTCCAGTGATGAATTTTATGCATGACAGAACATAACCAGGACAGTGGATAGAGTTCTGGGCTTGAAGTCAGGAAGACTTCAGGAAGACTGGGCAAATAACATCTCTCAGCTTCAGTTTTCTCATTTGTAAAGTGAGGGGGTTGGATTCAGTGGTCTCTAAGGTACCTTCAAGCTACGTTCCTATAATTCTACGTATGAAAATAAGGTGGGCCAGTCAAGTATCAAGAATAAAGGATATACCAACGCAGAAAGAGTGTGGGAAATGTTAAAAGCATGTTTTTCTAAACAGCAACACATGCAAAAGGATTTTGTATTGCTGCCCCTGCATACAATGCTTGAATTCTTGAATTTCCTTTGGCGGGGAAAAAAGGATTTTTGAAACCATGAAGTGTTTTAAAGAAATTAAGCCTGTTTAAAAAATTTTGTTTTTCTTTTCCTATTTCTTTTTTTTCTCCACTGACAATGTCCTCTGTTCAATTCCTGACTCTCGAACTACAATAAATGGTTCTCTACATTCACAAGGGAAAAAAAAAGAATAAAGGATAACCAATGGATTACCTAAATATGCACTGGTATCTACAAAATTTTAAAAGAACCAGTGGAAGACTTTAATTATGTTAGGTGGATTCTCTGTGGGGAACTTATGGAGAAAATATGAACAAAAACCAAACAGGATAAGAGAGTGTGGATAAGTTTCAATCCACACTATTGAAGGGATAGTACCTATATTGAGATCATGTTTCTGTTGAAATATTTAATAACTAGTTTATTTAGTAACTGCCATGATTCAATGAATTTGTGGGCTCATTGGTGTGCACATTCCCTCCATTGATGGAGACTGCAACCCATCCACACTTCTCTTCCTATTTAATTCTTATCCATGATCCTTTATTGGGATCTTCCTCTAGGTGTTTCATGGGTTTAACCAGTGTATGCTCAAGATTCCCATATGCTAGCCACCACTAACCCGACCTCTTTTTCCAATAATACATTTCCTTTATGATAGCATTGTTGGGAATATGCTAAATTCTGCTTGCACCTACCATGCATCTTTCCATTGCCCTCTGGGTCATCTGCAGCTTTACTTCTTTGATTATTGTAGTGTTCGAATACACACAACCATACATCATCAGGAAAACATTTCTGTTAAAAAGATAGTGTTTTTATGTCAATGAGCAGCTTGGGATTATTGAAAGAACAGTACAATCCAGACTATTCCTATTCATTCTGAACCCAACTCACTGCCATTTGGAGATAATGTACTGAGGCACTACTTTAATAGCTCATCCAATTGCAAGTCTTAGCAATAAGCAACTTTCATCCATTTACTTTTCCCTGCATAGATTGTCCTCTACCATCTCTACTGAAAAATCATGGACATCACTGTGGAAGTCCTGTAATGTTCTGGGGCTTGATGCAAATAGTATAACAAGCACATCACATCTGGAGAATCTCACCATTCCTAGAGAATCCCTCTTCCGTTTAGACCTTTCATAAGTCCATGACAGTGGTGAAAACTTTCTGAAGATTTTCAATTCCACTGCTTTTTGCTGCTTTTGATGTAATAGTACTTGTAATCTTTCACTATCTTCCTTTTACTATTTAACACGTGACTTTGTATTCTAAAACAGTGTTTCCTTGGCTGCCATGTCTTTCCACTTGACAAAGCTATCAAGTGTTTGCTGGTTAATTCTGGTTCTAGGCTCTTTTGGCCTCCTCATTGTAATGATTGCTTGGCATCTGTTAAACTTTTGCTGGAAGTGGAGATAACCAAAGTCATATCTTTGTTTTTTTTACTTTTTAGTTTGGGGCATGAGGCAGCAGTCTTGAATAGATAAAGTTGAAGCTCTTACAGATATTCTCAATATCTTCTTAAGTTTATTATTCTTTCCTCTAATTTAAAACTGATTTTGACTTTTGCTCTTACTAGTTAGTCAATGGTCTGATTGCTCTGACAGCTGATTCTTATATGACTAGCATATTAGTATCAATTTCCTGGAAAGATAAAATTAAGATCTTGTTTGATGCTTGGCATATTCAGTGCTTTCTGACTCTCTTCCAGAAGAAAATATTTGAAATATTTCTTAAACTTGAATCACATTAGCATTTCACCATCCTTCCCTGTGCTCATTTTTGTAATTCATTAGCCAGTGGACTTATCTCTATCTAAATGTATGAAATAGCTATTTAGAGAACTTAGAGATAAGTTAATGCTTATAGACTATCTAAAAAACCTATGACTCTTCTTTTTTTCCACTACTCCACTACTATCAGGACTGACAGTCATATTTTATTTTTCTTTGTTTCATGTGTTGCCATGGCCAAATAAATCATCACCAGTTTAATGAGTCCCTCCATACTGAGATTGATCCTTGAGTTCTGTCACTGGGGCAGTAATCAAAGCCTTTTCAAGTAGAAACTTCCAAAGCTTGTACCTGCTGGTATAGGTGCAAGAACTGAGGATGACCTACACTCTGATATTTTATCCACTATAATTTATGTTACTTGGTGAATGATATGGGGACAATGATCCCTGGTGATTGATACTGGGGGAAGCATAACAGAATGAAGCCTTGAGCTAATGATGTTACAGAATATCCCATAATCCTTTTAGTTAGCCTAGAACCCTGAGGGGGAGATGATATAGCTAACCACGATCTGGGGATCTGACTTGCCAGTGTGAGTGGGAATAAAGATAAAGACTCCCCAGAGTCTATATCATTATACTTGCTTAATGGTCCAGTCAAATCTTAGTAAGGAAGGAAAAACTATGGTAGCTTTCAAAAGGAATACAATCAAATGGACCTTGGAGGTTCTAATAGGATTCATATCTACCAGTATTTCCTCGTAACAGAGTTTAGGCCCATGCTTCCTCCTTCCTCCTGTGACAAGAATTAGTTTTCCCTACAAGGAGATAAAGGTCTGTAGGACTAGATTGGTCCCTGCTTCCCTGAAGCAGCTTCATGGCATAAAAAGGCAGGATTGGGGCCCCTCAGCCTTGGTGGATTTCTGAAGACTACAAGAGGCACAGTATCCTGTCCTGTTGTCCAGACACATTTCCATGTGGAAAGGAGAGGCCATGGTCTATAGCTAAATGCCACGGTAGCCTTATTGGATATCCTTAAGGTAGGAAAAGGAAAAAACCTCCTTTTGTTAACTGTTCAGTGACATGTGAGTTCCTCATTTCATCCCGACATCAAATCTGAACTATGAGAGTGCTAGCATTAGGTTTGCCTCAAACAGAGGCTATCAATCCAACTTTCTCATATTAAAGATGAGGAAACTGAATGCTGCTACCATATGTGAAAGCACAGAGACATTGCTAACCCTTCTTTTATGCACTCCTCTCTCTGTATGATGAAACCTATTCTGAAGTATAGGATGTCAACTTTGATCAAAAATGGCTTTTCCCCCCTTGCATCATAAGACTAAATAAAGATAAAACATTCGGAGTTCTTAAAATGAGTCACTATATAATGACTATAAAGAGTCCAGTAATTTTCCCAGGGTGCATGTGCATGGCATACAATTTAATTCATTTAGTAAACATTTATTAAGTACCTACCACGTCCAAGACATTGTTCTAGATGCTAGAAATATAAAGATGAGAAATGACAGTCTTTGTCTTCAAGGAGCTAACAGTCTAATAAGGACAATGTGGTATATACATAAAGAAGGATGATATAAGGAGAACTGAGAGAGAGGGCAAAGGAGAGTTGAAGGCAAATTTTGAGATCATTTTCATCTGCTACCATCAGGGAAGGCTTCATGGAAAAGTAAGTATTTGAGCCTGGCCTTAAAGAAAGTGAATGATCTCAACAGGTAAAGATAAGGAAGCAGCATGTTCCAGGAAATTTGGAAAGCCTGCTGGGAACAGCCAGCATACCACTACTACTACTACTACTACTACTACTACTACTACTACTACTACTACTACTACTACTACTGATAATAGCTAACATTTATATAGCACTTACTATGTGGCAGACGTGCTAAACACTTTACAAATATTATCCTACTTGATCCTCACAATGCTGGGAGATAAGGTTTTTTTTTATTATCACCACTTTACAGATGAAGAAAATGAGGCAAACAAAGGTTATGTGACTTGCCCAGGGCTCTATCGACTGAGCTACATGGCTGCCTGATATGACTTGAATATCTAATATAAGAAAGAGTAGTATCAACAAAGGTTGGAAAGTTATGTGTGAGAGGTTAAAGGTATCACAAGATCATCTGGCAAAGAAAGAACAAATAGCTGTGTGTCACAGGTAATGATGGCATTTGGCTGCACACGATGCCCTATGTTTAAGAACATCAGGAAGCAGCCTTATCTGATATCTCTTTGTCCTTTCTCTGTTCAACTGCTTGAGAATGCAGACTAGGTACCTTTACTTCCTTTCCTCTAATTTTTGTTTGTCTTCTGATGTCATCATTCAGCTGTCATTTACCCTCCCCAAAGTTACCAATGAACTTTTTTTTTTTTGGCTAGGCAATGGGGTTAAGTGACTTGCCCAAGGTTACACAGCTAGTAAGTGTCAAGTGTGTGAGGCGGGATTTAAACTCAGGTCCTCCTGACTCCAGGAACAATACTCTATCCACGTGCCACCTAGCTGCCTCACCAATGAACTCTTAATTGCTAGATCTAATAGCCTTTTCTCAATCCTCATCTCTGTAGTTTTTGATACCCTAGGTCACCATTTCCTCCTGTATACTCTTCTCTCTAGGTTTTCATGACACTGTTCTCTCCTGGTTCTTCTCCTGCCTATTCCTTCTCATTCTTGCTTGCTGAACTTTCATCCATGTCATGCCCTCTAGCCTCAGGTATTCCCCAAAGCTCTGTCCTGGGCCCTCTTCTCTTCTCCCTCTATACTATCTATTGGTGATCTCATTAGCTCCCACGGATTCAATTATCATGTCTATAGAAATGATTCCAAATCTATCTATCCAGCCCTAAACTACTTATCTCCTGAGTCCTAGTCCTCAATCACTCATTGCTCTTTGGACATCTCAAACTAGATCTGAAATTCAATGAGTCCAAAATATAACTCATTATTTTTCTCTGCCTCCCCTCACCAACTTTCCCTTCTTCCTTCCTTTCTTATTACTGTCAAAGGCACCACCATCCTCTCAGTCACTCAGGCTATCAACCATGGTTTCATCCCCAACTCATCTCTCACCCACCCTGCATGTACAATCTGTTTTCAAATCTTATTTCAACCTTTACAACATCTCTCATATATGCTCCCATCTCTCCACTACATAGCCACCACCTTAATACAGGCCTCCATCACCTTTCGCCTGGACTAATGCAATAGTCTTTTAATTGATCTTATTTTTCTCCTAATACTAATTTTTCACCTCCTCCCCCACTCTAATCCATCCCCCAATCAGCCACAGTGATTTTTCTAAAGCACAGGTCTTACCATGTCATCACTCTACTCAATAAGCTCAGGGTGATTCCCTATTACTTCCAGGATCCAATATAATTCTCTCTGTTTGGCATTTAAAGCCTTTCTCAATCTGCCCCTTTCCTACTTTTCCAGTCTTATCCTTTTTTCCCCCTCCACACACTCTATAATCCAGTCACATAGACCTTTTTACTGTTCATTGCACACAGCATTCGATTTCCCAGCTTCATGTTTTTGTACTCTATATCTTGCCCCCAAGCTTGGAATGCTCTCCCTCCTTCTTAGCTTCCTCAAGACTCAGTTCAGATTCCACCTTCTGCAGGAGGCATTTCCAGATACCCACTGTTGCTAGTGACTTACAACTGAGATTCCCTTCCATCTACTCTATATAAATCTTGTATTTACCTAGTTATTTACATGTGCCTCACCCACTGGAACATGAGCTCTTTGAGGGCAGGAACGGTGTGTTTTTGCCTTTCTTTATATCCCCAGAGCTAAGACCAGAGCTTGGTACATAGCAAGCATTCAACAAATGAGTGTTGGTTAGTTGATTGATTGATTCATAGCTGGTTATTAGTGGTTAGACACCCAACTGGGTATGGTGGAAGAAAAAGGGTAGACCAAGAGCTAATTTTGCGTCACAGTAGAGCTCGTGCATTGAAAGAAAGAGAGGGAATTTAGTGTAAGGATCAATCAGTAAGAGAGGAATTCATTGCACTGGGGACAGAACAG